GAAACCCGGGTTCTGGTAACTGTGAAGGAATCGGCAGCAGCAACAGGATGAGTTAACTCAGAGGCAAGAACCAAGGCCAACCGGACAAAAGGAAGTCGCCTTCCTTCCGTGTCCCCTTCGATCCAGGCTGCCATCAGAAGGTTCTGCCCATGTTTGGGGTGGATTGTCCCACATCAATTATGATCAGTAAGACAATTCCTCAAGTGAGGCTCCCTACTCAGGTGACTCTAGTTTGTAGCAAGTTGACACTAAAACCAGCCAACACACTAAGGGATGGACTCATATCTGAAGACGACAACTAGTTCTGAGGAAATTAAAAGGTTTCTGCCATTAACTGATGCAATCATATTATTTACTTTCTCTTTTTATTTGTGGGTGTCAACCATCACAGCAGGGGCATTTCTAGAATGAACTCCACGCAGTCTTGGAATATAGTTTTGATTCACTAAAGGATTGCCTTTGCTGAAAATGTACTTTACATTTTTACATTTAAATTCCTAACTGAGAGAGGGTTGTACCTTTCTCTTTTAGGATAATTTTTATTTGACTGAAGTACTAAAATTGTGTTGGAGCCTAAATGAATTGATGTGGCATGTTCAAATAGCGAACAATTACCTGTTCCTCTAGGGGGACACGGAACTCAGTTACAACACACTTTAGTCTGCCTAAAGTAATAGATCTTCAGTCCATATTACTTCATTTTCTGTGACAACTGCTTCATCCAAGTTGTGTGCAAACCAGTTTCTTCTACTCACTTTAAAAAACTTAGCTCCATCAAGCATAATTTCCACATCACAAAATCCAATCACCTTTGACCAAGTGCAATTTTTTAGAGTATAGTTCTATGACTTTTTGTAATTGTAGGTAAATTTCTATCAGTTTTTAAAAATTAATATTTATTCTTTGAAATTTTATACATGCATACAATGTATTTTGATGATCTCTATCCCCTACTACCACCTCATCTCTGCCCTAGGAGCCCCATTAATGTATCTCCCTCCAATTGTTTGTTTGTTTGTTTGGAAACAGGGCTCTACATAGTCCTGGCTGTCCTGGAACTCTCTCAAGACCAACCTGGCCTCAAACTCAGAGAGATCCACCTGCTTCCACCAGGGGTTAAATGTGTTGAGACCATCACACTCAGTTCCATATTTTTTAAAATTAATAACCCACTGAGTCCAATTAGTGCTGCCTGTATGCACATGGGTGTGGGAATATCATCTGCATTGCACCCGAAGAAAAATGAATCTCTCACCCTCAGTAGCCCTCAGTGATGAGATTACAGGTTGTGTCACCACACCCAGTTACTCAGAGCTGTGAATATATGTAGCTTTTTGTGTCTGGCATCTTTCAGTTAGAAGTATTTCTCAAATATGTTCATGCTGTGGCATATTTCAGTGTATTCCTTTTTTATCATTAAACACTATTCCATTGTATAGATTTGACACAATTTACTGACATATTCACTATTTAAAAGGGATTCCCAGCTAATGATAATTATATGTAAAATTGCTAATGCCTATAAGTTTATGTATATAAGTTCATATTTCTTTTGAGTTAAGTATCTTGGAGTAGAATTTCTTGGCTGAGTTTAACCAAATAAGAAATTGTAGATTTAGAGAAAAGTCTCAGTGGCTAAGAGAACTTGTTGCTCTTGCAGAAGACTCTGGTTCTCTTTCCAGCACCCGCATAGTAGCACACAACATTCTCCAACTCCCAGGGAATCTGATGCCCTCTTTTGGCCTCTTTGTGTACTGCATGAATGTGGTGTACATACATACATGCAGGCAAACAATCAGACACATAAAATATGTAATTTTTTTAAAAAAGCATGTAATACAATTCCTCTTTTAAAAAAAGGAAATTGAGCCGGGCGGTGGTGGTGCACGCCTTTAATCCCAGCACTCGGGAGGTAGAGGCAGGCGGATCTCTGAGTTCGAGGCTGGGCTGGACTGACAGCCTCCAAAACAATACAGAGAAACCCTGTCCCGTAAAAACCAACAAAAAAAAAAAAAAAGAAAAAGAAGAAATTACCAATTAAAGCAGGACTATATTAGTGTTTGCTGAGGGGCTGTCTACAGGTGATGGATTCTCTCAGTTCTTATTTCTCTGGGAAATGCTATTTCACCTTCATTTTGAGGAATAATTTTTCTGAGTATAATGTTCTTGGATCATACCTGAGGAGGGGAATACAGATTGAGGAAAGACACAAACAAAAGACAAAAGATAGAGTCAGGAGGACACCAAGTAAATACTATGATCAGCCACAACTTTATTTGTAAACAGAGTTTTTCATTGGTTTAAATAATAAAAACCTGGGGTCAGATATAGAGGAAAATGCTGAGAGATCAGAGAGAAGAAAGAGCAAGCCAAAGCCACCTTTACCTCATTAGTTTGGGGATGGGGTGAGTTTCTGTTTCTCCCTGATTATATCCTCTCTTCTCCCAGTCATCTCACTTCCTGTTTGTCTGTACAGACCTCCAGATGTCTCTGATTAGCTAGTGATAAGCTCCATTCTCTGGTCCTCAGACAAGCTTTATTTGTACAAGCAAGATGTCACCACATTTACTGCTCAAAGTTCTTTATACTAAAATCAAAAGGTGGAGAAGCCAAAAGACTTCCTTACCAATGATACAAGGAACAAATAAACGTAATTACCTCTTCAATACATGAAAAATCAACCATATCCTGAACTAAGTATTCTGTTGTTTAGACAAAACATACAGCAGCTGCACCTTAGGCCAAACATCCTCCAGTAGCCACACCTTAGGTCAGAATCTTGTTGTTTAACTTTGAAGGAACAAGTGTAGGTTTGAATTCTCCGACTTTAAGTCTATATGGAATGGAGTCAATTCTATGGGCTTACACAGTTTTTGTGTTTTCAGATTCTACAGCAACCATTTTTGTGAGTATACTCTGGTACCTTGTATATTCCATTTGGATGGATGGATGGATGGACAGATGGAAGGATGGTGTGTATCCATGTGTATGCATGAGTGTGTACAGGTTTACTCCTACATGTGGACGCCAGAAGTTGACACTGGGATGTCTCTCCTTAACACTCTCCACTTTGTGACATTTTTGCTTGTTTGTTTTTCTTTTTCTTTTTTAAGAAATTGTTTCTCATTTAGGCTAGACTGCCAGCAATCCCCAGGCTTGCCCATCTTCCCTCTTAGTGCTGAGGTTACAAGCACTCATCATTGAGCCTAGCTTGTACGTGGGTTCTGGGGAATCCAATCTCATGCTTGTGCGGCAAGCAGCTTACTGAGCCATGTCTCCCTCTCATTTGTATGTTCTAATAACTCTTGCCTTTATTGGCTATGATATCTCTTCTTTTATTATTTTGTATGTTCAAAAATTTACCCATAAAAAAGACACCACTTTTACTATTGAGTTATAAAAACAGGTCCAGAATATTTGTTTTGTAAATATTTTTTTCCAATTTTGATTTATTACTAAGTCTTTCCAGAAACACATTATTAAGGTATATTGATTTTTCCTATTATACTTAGTGCATTTGATGTTAAAACTAAGAATCTTTGCCTAACCCAAGGTCATATGTTTCTTCTAGAAATTTTATAGTTGTGGTTTTTGCATTTATGCCTATGACTCATTGAAAGTTAAGTTTTGTATCTAGATCAAGGTTAATTTTTTGGCATTCAATCAAATATAAATGTTTGAGCAGACAGTTCTTTGTCTTTGAATTACCTTGGCACTTGTCATGGTTACCAATTGATTGTATCTATGTGGGCCCTTTTCTAGACTTCCTGTTCTGTTTCATTAACCAGCTTGTCTATTGTCTTAGTGGACTGGGGGTTTTGTTGTTTTTCTGTTTCTGTGATAAAATACCCTGACAAAATCAACTGAAGGGAGAAAGGGCTCATTGGGAGAAAGGTTCAAGGGGAAAGCTCATAGCAGGTGGGTGAGTGGTGTGTGTGTGTGTGTGTGTGTGTGTGTGTGTGTGTGTGTTTTAAAGCTGACTGAAAATCCCTAAAGCAAAGGAGAGGAGAAACTTCTGGTAATAACAATAGGCCCAGTTAGAGACTTGGCAGCACTCAGAGACCCTCCAGAAAGAGTGAAGTTCCCTGTGTGGTTAGCGTGGGACATTAGGCCTGGCACTAGTGTGTTCTAGAGTTAGCAGTCTTTTGTTCTCAGTAACAATCCCCCAAGGGTCACTGGGGAGACATCTCAGTGGTTAAACACCTGCCCTGCAAGTGTGAGGATCAAAGTTCTTACTCCAGAACTCAAGTAAATGCCAAGTGGATGGGCTGGTCTGCCTATAATGTCAGCCTGGAAGGGTGGAGGGAGACAAGGCATCACTAGAGCAAAGTGGCTGGTGACACTGGCATAGCTGTGTGCTCTGGGTTCGATTGAGAGACCTTGTTTCATTGAATAAGATGGAAGAGCAGTCTAGGATGACTGATACCATCAACCTCAGACCTCCACATGCACACACACAAATACATACACAAAGGCACAGACACATACACACAGAAACACACATCCCACATACACATGTACACACAGATACATACATAACACACACCCATACAAAACACACACACACACACAGACATACACACCACATACACATACACACACATGCACAGAGACATACATAACATGCACTTATACAAAACATGCACACACTCATATACAGAAACACACACCACACACACACACACACACATGCACACACTCATACAAAACACACGCGCGCACACAGACATACACAAAGGCACACATACATATACACATGCATACAGACACATACATAACACACACCCATACAAAACATGCACACACACACACACAAACATACACAACACACACATATACAAAATATACACACATGTACACATAGACACATACATAACACACCCATATACAACATACACACACACACACACACACACACACACACACACACACACACTTGACAATAGAACAAGAAGGAGCCAGGTTGCCGAAGCTGCCTGGTGTGTGTCGTGTGCTCATTCCGCTGTCTCCGTGGAGGTAGTCCTCTGCCGCAAACATGCTCCATCAGATCCTCGGGCAAGCCAAGAAGCATCCCAGCTTGATCCCTCTCTTCGTGTTTATTGGAGCAGGAGGTACGGGAGCAGCACTGTATGTGATGCACCTGGCATTGCTCAACCCAGATGTCAGCTGGAACAGGAAAAATAACCCAGAGCCTTGGAACAAACTCGGTCCCAATGAACAATACAAGTTCTACTCAGTGAGTGCGGACTACAGCAAACTGAAGACAGAGGGCCCCGACCTCTAACCCATGAAGTCCTCATGAAACTGCTCACAGTGAAGGTCTCCCAGAAGCCATCCGCACAATTTTCCACTTAACCAGGAAGTACTCCTCTGAATGCATGAATCATGCCGGGTTTTTTGGAGTATATTACACTGATGAATAAATCTCTGAAACTTGAAAGAAAATAGAACAAGAAGAAAATCCACAATATAATCGAGAGAGGAAGAACTTCACCTCATGTCCTCCTCATGTGGTTCATGCTCTCTGTGAGAACACCTACAGCAGCAAGGACACCTGAGGTACAGCATCATGTCACACAGCCTGCCCCAAACTCATTTGACCTTGGAACCTCTTTAATACAAAATATCCTGATGGCCAAGTGTTATCCTTTGCTGTGAAAAGAAAAAAAAGCACCTGTGGAAAAAATATTGCCATAGATAATTCTATGATGTTTCTCCTCTTTCAATAACAGAACAATATTCAAATGAGATAATTATGTCAGAGCTGGCTGGTTATTACGTGATGCTGTGGGCCATGCCTTGTGCTTAGTCTGTGAAAGAGAGAGAAGCGAAATGCCTGATTTCCTTGTGTTCTGCCATAGAAATGATGAACAAAATACTCTCCCAACACAGTGTCGAACTAAACAGGAAGGAAAGTGTTCTCACGTGCTCTCTCCTCATCTCCTTACTTCAGACTCTTGCTTTGCCCTGATTTATTGCATAACTGGTCCTGAAATCATCTATATCTATCCTATATAGACATATAGACATCAGTTCCATGATTGTTTGTCCCATGTAGTGATCAGCATGATGGGATAAATATGAAATAGACAATATTTATCTTACAGGGAGAGAAGAAACTTTTGAGTGACTGACAACACACAGTTCAATGAGCAACACCATAAACAACAGCAGTTTTCAGCAAGAGGCAGCTGGTGACTGTTTTGTTTTTGTTTTTATCAGACAACAGCATGGCTGTTGGGCCAGGAGGCAAAGGTGTAGTTTTCAGGGGATGTGCGACCAGAAAGTAGCTCCGCTGCCTGCCTCTGTAATTAAAAGTATAAATGTTTCAAGTCGAATACATCCTATTAGTAAGATTTTAGGAAACAAAAATTTAATTTATTCACATTCGATATGGTCTGTAAATGCCACCATTATGGGCCTTCTGCTGGCCTTTGATTAGCTATGGATTAATAAAACTTTTATACCTCCTTTGTCAGCCTCGTTGCGAACACTGTTTTTGCATACTGTTACTATTAAATAAATGAATTAGTGTCCAGAAATGTGTCATGCATATTACCTAGCAGCAGGAAGCATGATACAGTGGTCAGCTCCCCAGGAGTCTCATAAATCCAGTGCGCTCAGTAACCTGCTCACGTGGACCTATTAAAAGCCTGGTGATTTACTGGAGCCATATTTGTGCTTAACAATGGAATTTTAGTTAATTCAAAACAATGTAAATCACCTCCAATTACAGTATTTGAATATTCACCGTTGCTTCACAGAACACGGACTGTTACTAAGGCAGGGTTGGGTAACTTGTGTGCAATGTAACCCGATCCTGGAAAGCCCTGTTTATCTGAAGCAGATAGTTATCTCTCTGCCTAAGCAATTTAGGAAAAAAATCCAGGAAGAGGGGAAAGTGGGAACCAGGCCTTGGGTTCCATCCCTGGCTAGAGTGCTCAGGTGAGTGTGGGAATTGCTCCCCTTTGGCTGTTCACTCTGAGGGAGCAACATTACCAGGAGCTTGGGACTCTCTGTTGTAGTTATTAAAGCCCCAGCTTTTTGACACCACAATAACGGATCCATCCCTGAGGGTACAGCGCTGGCCAGATTGCATCCTCAGGTTTGAAACAGGCTCTTACTCCCAAGGTCTCAGAGGGCCTTTCTGGGGGGAGGAAGGATGACGAGCTGTCAGCTGGCTGTAGAGGTTGTGTTTAGCAGTGCTGGGCCTTGAAACTGGGTGGGGTCTGCAGATCCTCAACCTCCCCGTGTGAAACAGGAGTGGGATTAATCCCACTTCCTCAGAGTGCCTTCTGTCTGTTGTGAATGTTCAGTTTTCTTGACCTTGACCCTAGTCTGAAACAGATGAGCTTGTATTAGTGAAATGCAAAATCTGGAGAAAATACCCACAAAGTCAACTCCTCTGTGTGTGTGTGTGTGTGTGTGTGTGTGTGTGTGTGTGTGTGTGTGTGTGTGTGTGCATTTAGGTCAGACAGCAATCTGGGAGGTGTCCTCGCCTCCTGCTTTTTTGAGACAGGGTCTCTTGTCATCACTGTGTAAGCCAGGATAGACAAGCTGTCATGCCTTCACCTCACACCTTCCCACAGGAGTACCAGAATCGCCAACACTTATACTGCCATATCTGGCTTCTACTGGGTTCTGGGGCTCTGAACTCAAGTTTGCATGTAGGTTTTTTACCCACTGAGTCAAGTCTCCAACCTGGAAAGTCAGCTTATATAATTTTTGTTCAATATCATCATTGGCTTTAGTCAGTGCTCAATATGATCAGGGCTCTGCATTTGATGTTGCAAATTCTGTGCCCTGAGGTGAGTGACACTCCCCAACTGAACCCAAATGTATCAGCTTGCGAGAGATGAACAGGTTTACCTGCAGTCTGTTGTTCTGTGGCAAAAATGCAATCAGGCACGTGAAACACGGGTGGTTACTGCCGGGCTCCTCTTCTCTCCCGGTACACACAGATGGTATGAGGAAAGTCTCTTCCACTAGTGGTGGTGGGTTCAGGCTGAGTCCGTCGCTTCTTGCTCTGGTTTCATGTAGCAGCATGGTTCTCTGCTGGCTTCCTTTGGTCTCTCTCTACCGCTCACCCGTCCTCCTTTCATCCAAGGAGTGATACATGGATACAGTTAAAAATTTTAAATTACCTCCAGTCTGCCTCCCATCCTGTCCCCAGCTTCTTTCCTCAGATGGATTGCACTTATATGCAAGCATGCCCTGTGTACTCCCCAGCAGCAGAATACCATCTACATGTCCACGTCTCAGAAGTCAGGGAGGGCTTTGAGAGATGGCTCAGCAGTTAAGAGTGCTCACTGCTCTTTGCAGAGGACCTGGGTTCAGTTCCCCGCACCCACATGACAGCTCACAACCTCCATGACTCCAGTTCCAAGGTGTCCATCATCCTCTTGGCCTCTGTGGGTTCCTGCATACATGTAGTGCATATATATATATATATATATACATATATATATATAAACACTCAGGTGTGCGTGCACACACACACACATATACACACACAATACATTTTTAAAATAACAAAAACTTAATGAGCTGTGCACAGTAGCACATACATAAATCCCAGTGGTTCTTAACCCATAGGTTGAAACCCCTTGCAAGCAGGTGGAGGGGAGGGTCGAACCACCCTTCCATAGGGGTCACCTAAGACCATAGGAAAACACAGACATTTACATTATGATTCATAAAAGTAGCAAATTTACAGTTACGAAGTAGAAACAAAACATAATTTTGTGGTTGGGGGTCACCACAACACGAGGAAATGTATCTGTACCTACATAGAGCATTGTGCAGTGTGTCAGTGCCTCCCATCATTTATCCGGTCTCTGGTTTCCTGTTGTGCTGAGTCCTCTGCGAGCCTATCCAGTGTTGCACAGAACATCTCTCTTTAGTCTTCTCAGTGCACACGCATCAGGGCAGCTGCAGGATATCTGCCAGTTGTAGGCTAAATTCCTAGAAATAGATTCCCTGGGTCAAACTGTTATAGAAATTGCAGAACTATCCTTTGAAAACAAATTGCACTAATGTACCTGCCTTCCAATAATCTAAAAATGCTGTTTACCCCATATCCTCAGTGTTTTGTATGGAGCCTTTAAAATGAGTATGTGCTAATTACACAGAGGAAGGGGTTTTGTTAGGAGCATTTCATGCACACAGTCAGTGCCCTTGGAAGGAAGGGGCTTTGTTAGGAGCGTTGCATGCACAGTCAGTGCTCTTTGGTCATTAGTGCCCTTTCACCTCCCTCTTTCTTGTGCTTCCTCCAGGGTTGACTTTTAATTTAGAGTCATAAAGATCTTTTAAAGCCTCATGTAACATCCTAAACGAATGAGTTCACTTCCCTCCAAGTCACTTACCTCTTGTGGAGGCTGCCTCAGAACCTGCAGGTCTGAACAATCAAGTATACTGATAGGATGCCCAATTTATCTGTTAGTTTTTGACAGAGGGTCTCTCACTCTGTAACACTGACTGGCCTGGGACTCACTCTGTAGACCAGGCTGGCCTTGAACTCAGGGATCCATCTGCCTGTGCCTCCTGAGAGCTGGGACTAAAGATGTGTGCTGCCACACCCATCTTGATGTTAAATTTAAATACAAACGCAACCATACCCTTTTAGAAATGAAGGAGCTTCTGCAATGGCTTAGTTCAGCAGAAGAGAAGCACGCCTTCAGGTGCCTCCTCCAAGATAGCAGAGTCTCTACAGAGGGGTCCTGGTTTTCCTGAATCAATTCTATAATGGTTGACTTTAATATCAAACTTACACAACTAGAATCACCTAGGAAGAGAGTCTCCGCAAGGGGTTGCCTACATTGCATTATCCTGTGAGCATGTCTGAAGTTCATTGCATTAATTAACATGGAAAGATTCAGTCCCACTGTGGGTGGCATCATTCCCAAGGTAGGATGTCCTGAACAGTATACACATGAAGAAATCTAGCTGAACACAAGAGAACAAGCAAGCAAGCAAGCAAGCAAGCACGCCTCCATTCCTCTTTGCTCTCGACTGTGGTTGTGATATGATTAGCTCTTTGAAGTCCTGCCTTGACTTCCTGGCAAAATGATTGATTTTAATCTCAAATTGTAAGCTAAAATAAAACCCTTTCTCCGCTAGGTTGCTTTTTGTCAGGGTAGTTTTATCACAACAACTAAAATGAAACTAGGATAGGACCCAATCCTGTTTTCTTCCAACCTCCTGTGTGAGTACTTTTACACAGCATGAACCACACATACAACACTAAGCTTCAATTAAATGGGATGAGCATCAAATTCAAGTTCA